TTGCATTTGCTTGAGTGAAGCATAAATATTAGAGCAATAATAATAACAATAACTGCCTACCGAGAGCCAGAGAGCTTCACAGGGGATTAAATGTCATGTGCAGATGTTGTGATCTGCCTTGGCAGAGACATCAGTCCAGGAAGAGCCAGCAACATCTTCTTGCCCAGTTCCCTTAATAAATCTCTCAAAATTCCTAGCTTATCCTAGCTGTACATGCCTTTTGCACCAAGCCCTGTTCCACTTGCTAGCATCTGAAGCATCTGAATTTCCACATACTCCTGCAAATGTGCAAGTTGTGTCACCTCCCAGGGGCCAGAGCTCTCCCACAGCAGAGGTACATGGCCCTCCACACATCCTACTGCCCAAGCAGACCTTGACTCACAGGATTGAGGTCTTCTCCTCCTCCCTTTCTCTGGGGTGTTTTTGTAACCCTCCAAGCAAGGCAACGCAAACCGTGTCAGGTATGTTTGTGCACTGAGAAGTTTCAGATCACCCTGCACACACACACACACTCCCCGCTTTTTTTGCTGTGGACACCAGCAGGTCGCAAGAAGAAAGTCATCAGACTTTCTGGATCCCCACCACCTTCAGCCCTTTTGGAGCCCACAGAAGCATGAAATCCCTCTGGCCACCTTCACAGAAGCTAATAGACACACACCACTGCAGGAGTGGGGCAAGCACGGCCCGGGGCCACCTGCACCTTTCTGTATGCAGCCCTGGGGTGCAGCTAGAGGAGAGTGGGGCCAAGGAGGCTCAGCCAGGTGATGAGTTGGGGGGAAAGCACCTCAAGGGGGACGCACTGGCCCGGCTGCAGGTCAGCCCCGGCCCAGAGAGCAGCTCGACCCACGAGAGCTAAGAGGGGCTGGGAGCGACCGCTGCCGTCGGGCTCCTCCGGGGGAGGGAGCTGCTCTATACCAGGGCTTGAGTTTAAAAGACTACAGAGATATTTTCACACCTCAAACAGCTCCCCCCACCACCACTACCCGTGCCCTCCAGCCCCCATCGCCTTGATTTAGCCCTTGGTAATTAATTTGGCATTTCAGAATAGCTACTGGGCTGGATAATGGCCTCATTCATCTCCCCAGCCTAATCTGAACAGAATCTGGAAGAAAAGCTTTCAGAAAGACAGAAACTGCCATTCGGCAACTGCTCAAAAGAACTGTCACTCCAGAGGAATAAATCGCTCCTGATTATTTCAACCCGGGTCTTCTCTGCTTTTCCAGCCGCTCCCGTTCCCTGTCGGGGGAAACGGCCCCCAGATATTTGAGGAGGGAAAGATGTGGTTAGATTCCACCCCCCCCTTCCTTTTCCCGGGCCCTCGCCCGGGCGGTAGCAGGGGGAGGTGGGCCCGGGGCAGCGCATTGTTCCGAGAAGGTGGACGAGCTCCACCACTCGCAGCGATTTGACTTTTAAAATAGGTTCCGAGCGATGCGGCTGCGTTTCCCGACCGCTTTTGGGATGGGATGCGGGGGGGGACCTTTAGCTCTCTCCTTTCTGGCTAAAAGCGCATCCCATGGGGGTCCCGCGGCAGCCTCTATTACCGGCGGGATGGCCTCGGGAAGGGGCTAGAGCCGCGAGGGGACGGTTCTCTCCCGCAATCAGGCTAGGCAACCCAATACGCAATCCCCAGAGCTGGGTCCTGTTCTCTACCAACCTGGTGCCACATCTCCCGCCGCGGGTCCGGACTTGTGTTTAGTGGTCGGAAACGAGGAATAGAGCGAACCGGGGTGGAGAGGACCCCTCGGTCTCCCGAGGATCCTCCGGCCCCGCAGTCGACCCCCGGGCCGGGGCCCCGCTCAATAACCACGCTCTCCGTCCCTCCGGAGCCGCTCGCGTGCATTTAATAGCTCGAGGGAGAGTTAATTAGAGAAAAGCCTCAGTAAATCACGTTAATGACCACAAGAGCCATTACAAGCGCCGGGAGTTGTGAAATACATAAGAAAAGAAGACACAAGGGCAGAACGGAGCCGAGAGCCACGGCCCGCGTCCCAGCAGCTGGGAGCGCGATCCTTGCCCATCGGTAGCGCCGGATGTTTGTTAAATTAACACCCTACTAATAGGATTAAAGAGCACTTCGGCTTTGCCAGGGAGTTTAACATTCAGTCGATTAAATATTATACGTATATAGGGTTCTTCTTCCTCTATACTCCCTTCTTTTTTCCTTTCTTTTTTTTTCCCTCTCCCCACGATGAGATGTTTGCTCAGAACTGTGCACGTTGGTAATGCCCGCGGTCAGGTCTCCAACATCTGAAGGGACAGCGACGAGTTCTGTCCTAGAAATACCACCTTTTAGGAGCTATCTCTTTGGCACTGTCCTCGAGGCTAAAGAACTGCCCAGATTTTCGGTTCCCCTTCCGCTCCCTCCCGAGGCCGGGCCGAGTCGCTCCCAACAAAGGGGGCAGCAGGCGGCTGGGTTTAAAAAAAAAAAAAAAAAAAAAAACACGCACTTACCTCCCTCGGGAGAAAGTGGCCAGAAGCACTTGCAGAACAGCACCCACTCCTCATGGAACTAGGTCGTCCTTGCCCATTAAGGGGGAATTTAACCTGTCGGGTTTGCAAATCGCTCCCATCTGTAACAAACTGAAGAGCAGCCAAAAGTAAAAGCACCTAGCTGAGAGGCTGCGGTTCGGCTCGCGGTGCCCGCGGGGCTGCGGCCGGACAGGGAACGCTCTGCCGAGGGACCGCTCACGGTAGCAGCATTCCGCAGATACCCCGGCGGCTCTGTCACCTATAAGGCCGAGGAGGAATAACCCACGTCCCATGAGTGCCCCAGAGCCGCTCGGAGCCGCAAAGCCGGCGGTGGGGGGAGCCCCCATGGGGCCTGTCCCGTGCGGCTCCAGCGAGTTTGGCCTGAATCTCCCCCGCCCCGCTCCATGCCGCAGCAGGCCCCCCGCAAGGTGGACAGGGAGCCCGGGATACCTCCTGTAAACAGGGGCTGCACTTAAAGCAGACGCCTTGCAGAGCGTACAGAGGGGTCGGGTTATACCAGGACCGGGCGAAGGGTGTTGCCGACCGGGCGGGTAGCACATGCGCTCGTCTGTGCGCGGGTGCGTTTGTGTCCCTGGGTGTCTCGGCGTGAGCAGCGGGGCTTGCCATCTCCCCCAAGGGACGAGCCGATCCTACCCCCCTCTTTCTTCTCTTCCTCAACACACACCTCTTCCTTCGGCGAAGGCCGAGAAGCCGGAGCTGCAAGGGCGCCGGGAGGAGCACGGAGGCGGGCTGCTTCCCGGGGAAGAGTTAACAAATCCTGGGAGCCGCGGGGCTGTCGGCGGGGGTGTGACCGGGGGGAGATGGGGGGCAGGGAGCCTGCGGAGCCCCGCTGCCCTGCAGGGAAGGCGGTTGCATTGCCAAAGACACCCCGCTGGGCTAGCAGGCCCGGGAGCAGATTAATCAGGCACTAATTCAATTTACAACAACCACTTTTATTCAGCTCGGTGGCAAGGAATTCAAAGAGGGGGAGAGGGGCGGGCGGAGGGGAGGGGGAGCTCTACGCGGCCTGGACAGCCCTGTCCACTCTGGCAGCCCCATCGGGGCTCGTCGGGGAGGGGGTCGCTCCGCCGTGCCAGGGCCTGGCCGCTTGAGTGACAACGTCTGGGCAGCGCTCCGCGAAAGGGCACTTCGGTTGGAAAAATAAAAGTGCCCTTTTAATCAAGGGCGGGCGGGCGGGCGAGCAGGGAGCCCGAGGGAAGAGAAGGTCGCTCTGCTCCTTCCCACTCCGGCTTCCCCGGGATGCTCCGCCGCTCTCGTCGAGGCAGCGGGAGACCGATGGTCACAAACTGAGGGTGGGGGGAGGATCCCTAGAGAGAGCCAGAACCGGGCCGAAAGCGGAGCTGAAGCGAGGTGGCGGTCGACGAGCAGCTTGTCCTGCCCGTGGGTCCCCTCTGCAGCGGAGGCAGCCACGGGGCAGCCGCGCTGGGACACGGGACAAGTGCCGCCTGTCAACCCCTTCCTGCCTGTCGCGGGTCCCAGGCGCCGGGCTGAGCTCGGAAGCCCCCTCGGAGCCGAGCCGTGCGCGGAGCGGGACCCAGCTCCCTCCTCTGCCCTTGCCTCTGTCCCCAGTGACCACCCCGGGGCTTGGCCGGAATCTCTCCCTGCAACCTTATAGATTCTGCGGGCTCGGGACCCAATTCGACTTGGGCACAGGCAGAGAAGGGAAAGCCAGCGAAATCTAGCCCAAGACCACCTGGAAGGGAGTCCAATCCTGTCCCTCTCGGGGTCCCGATAGGTATTCGGGAACTTCGGGAGGCTCCGAGTCACAGGTTCCTCCTTCCCGTGCCGACATTCCCACAGAGACTCCCCGGTGCTGGAGCGCAGATAGCTCAGGCTTATCCCAGGCTGCCGTCGGGGCAGAGCAGACGGGACAAACGCTCGGGGCTGGGACACTCATCATGAAGCGAGGGGGATGGTCCAGGATAAGTGGAGAAGAAGGTGGCCCCTTCTCTGCCTCTTCGAGGTGGCTCGGCTCGTCGCTCGGGAGCCCCGCGATGGCGCTGGCGCCCATCACCGTCGTGTCGGGGCGCCGCCCCTCTTCCCCCTCACCGTACCCGGGTAGGCTCTGTGTCCGCTCCCATCCCCCCTTCCCCCCCCCCCGATGCCTGTGAGTGTCTCTGGCTGAGCCGCCAGTGGATGTCGTTGTTCTGTTCCTTGAGCGCAATGTCACTCCTTTAGCATGACCTCAAACGCGGCGGGGGCTGGGACCGCCAGTCATTCTCCGTGCGAGAGCCGGGGCGGGAGGCAGGCGGGACCCAGCCCCGCCGCCAGCGGCACTTTTGTGGTGCTGTCGCCGCCACGATCTCCCTTTCTCCTCGGGGCTGGCTCCGGGGCGGGGAATGCTCTGGGCTCCGTGAGCCGCCTCCTCCGCCAGGTTGCCCCGCGGAGCAGCGCGGTAGAGGCCGGCGCGCCCCATCCCGTGCCGTGGGGCTGCGGAGCTCGGAGGGCCTCCGACGCCCCACTCAGTCGCCGCCCCTCTCCGTGGTGTCGCGCAGCTCGGCGGTCGCACGATGCCGCGGAGGGGCGCGGAGGCGCAGCTCGCCCTGCTGCTGGCCGTGGCGTGGTTGGCGCAGCCGCTGCGCGGCGGCTATCCCGGCATGAGCATGTTCGCCGTGCAGACGGCGCAGCCCGACCCCTGCTACGACGAGCACGGGCTGCCCCGCCGCTGCATTCCCGATTTCGTCAACTCGGCCTTCGGCAAGGAGGTGAAGGTGTCGAGCACCTGCGGGAAGCCACCGTCGCGCTACTGCGTGGTCACGGAGAAGGGCGAGGAGCAGCTCCGCTCCTGCCACCTCTGCAATGCCTCTGACCCCAAGCGCGCCCACCCGCCCTCCTTCCTCACCGATCTCAACAACCCGCACAACCTGACATGCTGGCAGTCCGATAGCTACGTACAGTACCCGCACAACGTCACCCTCACTCTGTCCCTTGGCAAGAAGTTTGAAGTGACCTACGTGAGCCTGCAGTTCTGCTCGCCGCGCCCCGAGTCCATGGCCATCTACAAGTCCATGGACTACGGGAAGACCTGGGTGCCCTTCCAGTTCTACTCCACGCAGTGCCGCAAGATGTACAACAAGCCCAGCCGCGCCACCATCACCAAGCAGAACGAGCAGGAGGCCATTTGTACCGACTCACACACGGACATGCGGCCCCTCTCCGGCGGCCTCATCGCCTTCAGCACCCTGGACGGCCGCCCCACGGCCCACGACTTCGACAACTCGCCCGTGCTGCAGGACTGGGTCACGGCCACCGACATCAAGGTGACCTTCAGCCGCCTGCACACCTTCGGCGACGAGAACGAGGATGACTCCGAGCTTGCCCGCGACTCCTACTTCTACGCTGTGTCCGACCTGCAGGTCGGCGGCCGCTGCAAGTGCAACGGCCACGCGTCGCGCTGCGTACGTGACCGCGACGACAACCTGGTGTGTGACTGCAAGCACAACACGGCCGGTCCCGAGTGCGACCGCTGCAAGCCATTCCATTATGACCGGCCCTGGCAGAGGGCGACGGCCCGGGAAGCCAACGAGTGCGTGGGTGAGTGGCCGCTGCAGGGACGCGCTGGGGACACGGGCATGCGCGGGCGCAGGAAGGGACGAGGGCATCGAGGGACTCAGAAGTGCGGGGCAAGGCGGAAGATCCCAAGGACGCAGGGGCGCAAGGCAGGGGTGCTAAGCGATGCGGAGCTCAGGGCAGGGGGGCATTCGGGGACACGGAGAGCAGTGCAGGAAAATCCAGGGACGAAGAAAGCAAGACAGGACGAGAACACTGAGGTACGCAGAAATTTATGACAACGGAGGGGACGCCAAGACACCTTGAAGCACTGGGCAGGGGATATCAAGGCACTTAGAAGCACAGGGCAAGGGACACCGAGTCACTCGGGAACACAGGGCAGGGGACACGGAGGAACCCGAAGACAATAACACGGACATCGAAGGAGTTTAAGGCAGGGGTGCCAATGGTCCCGGGAGTGCAGAGCAAGGGACACTGTGAGAGTGGGGCGACAAAAGTGTCGACGACTTTAAGAGGCTCTGGGAGCGCGGAATGGGAAACAACGAGCGGCTCGGAAGCGCTGGGCAGGGGACACCAAGAGACTTGGGAACTCAGGACAGGGCAGAGAGGATACCATGAAGGATTTTTTTTTGCCCAGAGATGCGCCGAGAAGCCCTGGCTCGCTAGGAAGGGTGTCCCCGCTGCCGACTGGAGGGCGGGTGACCCCGGGAAGGCAGCGGAGCGGGAAGCGCAGCTCCCTCCCGGGACAGCAGCTAGGGGTGGCCAAGGTGCCTGGATGCAGGGCGGGCTTGGATCTCCCTCGGAGGCGGAAAGCAGGCGAGGGCGGTTCGGCAGCGCCAGCAGCCCCGGTCGCTGGACGGGCAGCGCCTTTGGAGCGGCGAGCGCCCGGTACCAGCGGGGCCGCGCGGAGGTTGCGCTGCCGCGGTCCTTCCGGGCGGGCTGCGCGGTGGCGGCGCTTGGACGAACCCCGCGGCTAAACGAGAACCAGCAGCGTGTTGCGGGTAGTAGCCGGTTCGCTCCGTCTCGGGTGAGGAAGCTGCCCCGTCCTGGCGCTAAATACGCCCAAATCGAGTCCCCATGGGACAAACCCTCGCCTCCGTCCCGGGTACCCGTCCCCCACCCCTGCAAATCCTGCCGATGGTTCCTCCAACCTTCCCCTCTCCGTCCCCGTCTCCCCTTCACTCGGCCGGTCCTCTCCTCGTCACGGTGAAAGTGTGTACTGTCCTCGCGGCAGCCTCGTCGCTGGCCGGGGCTCTCACTCCGGAGCCTCACTCGGCTTCCCCCTCGCACTCGCAGCTGCCTTGCTTACGCCGAAAACACAGCTCCGTCTTCCAAAACATTTGCGGCTCCGCCAATAGGAAAAACCTCGCCGATCAGTTTGGATTGGGGTTGGGATATTTTTTTCTTGCTTGCTTGCTTTTCCATTTTTCCCTCAAATTACAATCAGATGTGTCCCTTGTAAAGAGCGTGATTTTGTCGCTGATTGAGTCTTAACGCCGCCCGGCAGTGGCCGCGGCGACTTGTCCCGATGGCACCGGGACACACGCGGGCGGCGGCGCTGGAAGGAGGCAGTGACCGGTCCCGCCGGGGTATGCTCTACCGGACGACACAGCAGGCGGCCCAGGAGCCTCCGCTGCCCGTCGGCCTGCAGCTCGGCCGCGTTCACGTCGGGGCGGAGCGGGAGCGGCGCCGGCGCCGCGGGCAGCGGGTGTTTAAGCGGCGAGGAAATGGCATTTCCCAGCGCCCGCGGTAACAGCGGTAACTGTCGCTCGGGTGTGTAAACAGCGCCGAGCCGTGATTTATCTGCTCTGCCCGGCAGCAGCTGGAGCAGAGCCACCGCAGCGCTTCCCACTAACGCCACGGGGCCGAGCCGCCCGCCCCGGCGGGACCTGGCCCTCACCGCGGCACTTCCCCCTGCCCTCCGGAGCCGCCGCCCGGCAAGTGCCATTTTATTTTTTCATTTCATTTCATTTCATTTCATTTCATTTCATTTCATTTCATTTCATTTCATTTCATTTCATTTCATTTCATTTCATTTGTTTATTTTTGGTCCGGGAGTTGTTAAACGTGCTGGCACGTTAAAAGTGGCCGACTTTGCTTTCTTCTGTCACCTGCTGGATCTCCCTGCTCGCGGCCACACCAGAGCCCCGGGATGTTCCCCCCGCAGCCCAGCCCTGTCCGCGGCACCCCAGTGCAGCCCAGCACGCCGCTGTCACCCGGAGCCAGCTCCGGCAGTCCCACTTCACGGGCAGGGACGAAGTCCCATCAGGAGAGTTATCGCTATCAGCAGTGCGGAGCAATTAATCAATCAACCAAACAAACAAACAATCAAAAACATCAATTCGGTGCGGTGATGGGATGTCCAGGTCCGCAGTCGGACCCTTTGTTTCACTGAGGATTGCAGGTCTGCAAGTGCTACTGAAAATGCCAGTAATTCCACAGGCTTTGTGGCACTTCATATCTTTCTTACTTCCAATTTACTTCCACTGAAAAGGAAATGTGGAAATGTGTTTCCAGTTTCCAATAAAGCGCGACTCTATGCCAGGCTTTTCATTTTAGACATAGGTCTCACCGTGTCTTTTCCTTTCCCATTTCTTTTTGTTCTTTATTTTTTTTTTCAGTAGAAATCACTGAGAAGTGTTTTTTTTTTTTTTTTCCCTTTTCATCAGAATTTATTGGGAAGGGATTGTTTTATTGCTCTACAGAGATGAAGTCTCTGTAAACGTGTCGATTCCTGTGTCATTTTTGCTGCAGAATGTCTTGGTCCATACCTATCATTCTGCAACATGAACTACAACTAGACGGCTCTGCTGCCCTGCCGAGCCTACGCTGCCCAGAATAATCTCCTCAGATAAAGATCACAATAACTCCATTCAGATCCCACCCACTTGCTCGTGACCATCAGCCCACCCTGGTTTCTCACTCGAGTCCAGAGAAAATTCAGGATTTGCGGCTGCTCAGAGGCCATGGTCCCAGACCAAGGGAGAGGTGGGGGATGAGCAGAGTTAAAATCCATGGCTGCTTATGGTGATGCAGTCAGCCGCACTCCAGGATGATCCTCAACATATTGAAAAAGTGAAGATAAAGACAGTGAGATGCTTTTTTAAACAACAGCAGTGAAGCTGCAGGTGAATTAACCAAATTAGCTTAATTTGCCTCAACCAGTGGTGTGAGAACTAGATAAGATTTTTTTCTCTCTCTTTTTTTTTTTTTTTCCCTTGGAAAATAGGGTTTTTAACCAGAGAGAAAAGTGACAGAACATGTCTGTTTTCCTCAAAATTTGGATATTATCTTTAGTAAGCCCATTCCCTCCGTCAAAACCCTTATCTTTGTTCCTATTCACACTTACTGGGGGCTGAAATAAGAAACGCATTGGAGTTTTTGACAAAATAAAAGGTCAACATTTCCCATGGGAACATTTTTTTCCCCAGCCTGATCTAGTTTATCACTTCTTACTGCCTGCAAATGCCTGGGCATGATACATGGAAAGGATTGGGCCTGGCCCAGGAAAGGATACCTGACCCTGTGAAAGAATATCAGTCAGCAGAGCTTTTCACTGATAGAGATTCCCATCAACTTTATCTGTCAAATAACTTATCTCCAGAGGATTTGGGCTGGTGTGTGAAGAGTGTGAAGGGTGCTTGGGAGCTAACGTACTCCAGGGAGGACACAACTCGGAGGCAAGCAGTTGCAATCACTCAGTGTAGTTAGTCAGGATCAGAGGTCTCTCCTCCAACGCTTTGCACCTTCAGCGCTGCTCTGTTCAGATCAGATCCATGAGCTCCATGTTTCCAACCTGGCTTGTCTTGACAAAGCTTCCCTTTTTTTTTTTTTTTTTTTTTTTTTTTTTTTTTTTTTTTTGAGAGGAGGCTGCTGTGGAAAAAAAATCAAGAAGATCTTTGGAGCCTGAGGAGTTTCTGCGAACACATGAAAATGCAGCCAGGGGCCTGAGCTTTGAGCAGATCAGTAAATTGTAATTAATCATCAGTAAATTGTAATTAATGTTGTTTCTCAGCTTTCCACGAGCCATAGAATTGTTTTGAGTGCTAGAAATAAGCACTGACATGAACTGCTGTAAAACACTTTTGAAAATTCTAACTCTTTTGAAAACTCTCTTTAGGTTACATAAAATACCTCTGCATTTGCTTTGGCCAGAGAAAGTGCTACCAGATAAACAGGCTCTGCCGTTTGCTGAGAGGCGTTCTGAGAGCGACCTCTTTGAGGCTCTGTTCCCAGTGCCGGCTCAGGCACTTCTGCGCCACTACCCCCACGGTGACAGGAGATGTGCCCAGCATCTGCACATTTCCCTGACAATAGTGATGCTTGCAAGTGCTCTGATTTTGGCCTTATATTATGCCTAGAGAGTGTTTAACAATAACAAGTGCAATTACGGGGAGAAAAAAAGAAATGAGACTGGGTTTTCAGATATAGTGTTAGGCACAAGGGATGGGTGGAGCTCAGTGTTAGGCAGACTCTGTGCTGTGGGTTTCAGGAGCATTCCCAGGCCTGGGCTGCTCTGATGCCGGAGCAATCTGCTAGCAGCTCTCTCCCCCAGCTCAAAAAAACTCCACCTCAGGGGCTGGAGGGACCAGTAACACCTGTAGAGAAGATTGCCAAACACTTCTAATGAAAAACTTCCTCCCAGGCAAACCTGGGATTGGAGCTCTCCTGTCTCCGTGCGGTGCAGGGAGAGATTTGCAGGGCAGTGCTAACTAAAGCAGCTGTTGGGCTCCTCTCCATCCTCACTGCAATCAAGGAAGCTGAATCCTTCCAGGAGCACAGTGTGCAGCCTGGCTGTGCCACAGCACAGTGCTCTTTTTGCTCTGTTCCTGCAGAGGGATCTAGGGACTGTAGGATTTTCTCTCCGGGAATGCTTATTAAATCTTGGTAATCCTGATTATTTAGCCCATGTTAATTTTTCTCACTTAAAATATCTCCATGGTTCTCCTCCTGTGTGTAAGCTGACTCCCTGGGTCAGCCCAGCAGGTGCTAGGTTGTTCTGCAGGATTTCTTTTTGCCTTTAA